AATCCCGCAAACTCATTTTGTCAACCAGCCACTGGTTTATCATCTCTCTGGTTTTCGTCTTACATCGTCTTTGCCTAACCGCTCGTTTCCTATTTGCTTCAAGGAATGTGTGTACAATGTCAGTCATGTTATCATTCGCTTTCACGTGAGATGCAAACGTGAAAGTGGTTGGTAAATAGGCTACGATATTACCTTTACAAAAATCTTTTTCATATTACTAATTTCATGTTTTGGCTTCGATGTCCTTTCGTGCAAGACTAAGAACTTTTAAGTAATATCCTTTTACACAGTCTGGTCCGGATTATTTCTGGTGAGGCATATTAACTATTCTGCTTTTCCTTCTTAATATCCCAAATTGCACACCAAAACATCCTACCATCCTAATATTTCCTTGTAATCAGCTGATTTAATGTCCTTCTGTTCTTTGTATTTTGTCGGCATTTTAAGAGTCCACTGCCGGAATTCTTAAAGTAGGATGACAACTGATTCCATCTTTGTATGTCTCCTATTTTTACTGATGTCCTTTTTCTGAAATCGACCAAGGGTATAGATAGGATATTATTATTATTGATATTATCATTATTGTATATTATGAACATCATTATCATTATTATTATTATAAACATTATCATAATTATCATTATTATTAATATTATCGTTATCATCATTATTATTGTGAACATCGTTATCATTATTATTATCGTTAATCATTTCTTTTTCATTATTATTATCACCATCATTATTACTATTATTAATATTATGAACATCATTAATGGTCGTCACAATCATTCTTCTTTTCATTATTATTATCACCATCATTATTACTATTATTAATATTATGAACATTATTAATGGTTGTCACAATCATTCTTCTTTTTATCACTATTCATTTCATCATAATAATAATCAAATAATTGTTATCATTATATTTCCATTACTGCTATTATCAATCACTATTACTCCAACCATCATTATTGATATCATCATTTTTGCTATTACTATTGCGTTTAGTATGAGTAGTAATAGTCTTATCATTGGAACAGTGCAAGTATTAGTATATGTAGTGTTAGTATTATCACCATCGCCGTGTTATTATTGTAACTATCATTATTGTTGTTATTTTTACAATTAATTATTATACAGAGTAATTTTTCATTTTTTGACAATGTACTTTCATTATTTTTTCCATTCATTCATTGATTTTTTTCTGTCCATCTACATATTCATATTCATATTATTATTATTATTATTATTATTGTTATTATTATTATTATTATTATTATTATTATTATTATTATTATTATTATTATTATTATTATTATTATTATTGCTGTTATCATTGGTATTATTGCTACAGTTCTTGGTCCACTTATGATTATCATTTATAATCATACCAATGTCTTTAGCATTATTATCATTATTATCGTTGTTGTTGTTATTATAATTATTGTTATTGTTATTTTCATTAGCACTGCTATAATCATTATTTTGCCATAATTATTATCTTTATACACATATTTATTTGCCAATATATTATTTGCTTCTCCCTCTCTTTCATTCTTCATCACACACACACACACACACACACACACACACACACACACACACACACACACACACACACACACACATATATATATATATATATATATAATATATTATATATATATATATATATATATATATACATATATGTTTATATATTATATGTAATACATATATAATATATGTAATATATATATATATATATATATATATATATATATATATATTATATATATATATATATATATATATATATATATATATATATATATATATGCAATATATATGTATGTGTGTGTTTATAAATGTATCTCTCTCTCTCTCTCTCTCTCTCTCTCTCTCTCTCTCTCTCTCTCTCTCTCTATATATATATATATATATATATATATATATATATATATATATATATATATATATATATATATATATATATGTGTGTGTGTGTGTATGTGTGTGTGTGTGGTGTGTGTGTGTGTGTGTGTGTGTGTGGTGTGTGTGTGTGTGTGTGTGTGTGTGTGTGTGTATGGAATATATATATATTAAATAAATATGTGTATATATACATTCATAAATGACAGTGAGGAAATGCAAGAAAGCTATCAATGGGGCACCAAAATATGCATTTGACTCCAGTAGCTATGGCAATGGTTATGGAACACAAACTACATGAGTATGATCATTCTTAAATATCCTTGGGCTTCCGGATATAGCTACCATAAAGGAAAAAATTACCTCAGGGTGGCCAGCTACTCAAAAAGTGGTTGTAAATAATAAACAAACTGATATGTTCTTGCTTTGAATTTGTCAGAACGACGTCAGAACCTCAAGTGGCCAAATGGATAAGTCTTCCCTGAATTGAAATCATTGAAAACTTTTGTGTTGCGTTTCCACGATTACTTGCCAATGCAAATTATATGTAAATTTGATTCATATGTAAACACGAACACCGACACGA